TCATGAACATAGATGCAAAAATCCTCAACGAAGTATTAGCAAATGCAATCCTAAAATACATTTGGAATAGTCGACACAATATCGTAAAAGAACAAAGTTGGAACACCCACCCCTTCCGATTTCAAAAGTCACTACAAAGCTACAATAATCAATGCCAGCTTGGTACTGGCATAAGGTGTAGATATCAAGAGAACTGAGAGTCCAGAGATAAACCTCTATGGTTAGTTGATTTTGAAGGGGGTACCAAGACCTTTCAGGGGGGAAAGATTTGTCTTTTTAACAAATGGTGCAGACCTGACCTTTAGAAGGCTTTGCTTCCCAGGTGGGCCCTCAGCTGGCATCTAGGAACTTGGCTTTTGTCGCTTTCCCCATGTGACATTGCGTCTGCTGTGCTGACTATAGACGTTTTAAATAATGTGACTTATGAGGAACACTTACTTTTCTTCTGAAAGATTAGAATTTTGAAGGGCACAGTATCTACATGATTTAGTCCCTCCTTGCCCCGAACCGCCCCTTCTCCCCCCCCAAAAAAAAACACCAAAAAACAAAACCTGGACTTAGCATCTCAAACAGACTTTCCTGGACAGAAACACTGTGCTGTGTTATTGCATTTCAGAGTCACTCTCTGTGCCTCTTCAGAGAGAACCTAGGAAGCCTGCACATGGATTCCTCCAGACTCTGCCTTATCTCTGTTCCCGTTACTGATCCATCCAGCTGTGTGTCTTTGCTGTGTCACTACAATAAATAAAACTGTGAGTGCGACCATATGCTTAGTCTTGCGAATTCTTCTACGGACATAATGAATGCATGGGTGGTTGTGGGACGGCCAAAACAAGTGTATCTGAAGTGATAACACAAGTGGTGTTATCTGTTCCTCACTTTACATATAAAATATTTCATACAAACTCACACTGATCTTTTGCACTAGAGGGCTTAAACAATCACGTACATGATATGGGGAAAGCATAGCTCGGACCTTGTGCCAATAAAATGAACTTCCTCCCGAGGTAAGAAAGGCACGTCCCTCCCTCTAGAACAGTAGAACCTAAGGGAGTGTTAAAATAAATTTTTAAAGAAATGTATCTTATTATACAAAAATACCCCCAAATGCTAGTAATTTTGGGTGAATATTCCCTCTTCTTATTAGTTCAGTTCACTTATACCTTAAAACCACATTCCTAACATAACAGGACAATGGGAGCAGAAATTTCCGTGCGACATAAAACCACCACGACTAGCCGAAACCGGTTTGGCTCAGTGGATAGAGCGTCGGCCTGCAGACAGTAGAACCTAAGGGAGTGTTAAAATAAATTTTTAAAGAAATGTATCTTATTATCCCCAGTGGGAGATGTGCAGGAGGCAGCTGATCGATGTTTCTTTCTCATCGATGTTTCTAACTCTCTATCTCTCTCCCTTCCTCTCTGTAAAAAAATCAATAAAATATATTAAAAAAAAAAAAACCACCACGACTAATACATTACAATTTATTTCTACAACCAAAAATATCAGCTGCCCACTCATGTCCAGTTACCAACACTCCCAAAAAAACTCCTGGTGAAAGTGCATCAATTACAGTTTAAGGGAAGTTTATAGCTATCACTCCATATCAAAAAGAGTAGACATGACAATGCATAGGATTTTTCACAAGTGAAATGAGATGAACCTCTACCTGCTGCCTTACATTTGTATCATACAACTGTCATAACAGTAAAAGGGAAGCCCTATAAAAAATGAGAACTTTCACAAATAACCTGCATTACACTTTAGGGCTTTTAAATTGCAATTAAACTTCTGCTTTAAAGAAAATATTTTTGAAAGTTCTAGTTTACAGTTAATAGTTATAGAACTGAACTCTAAAAATTCAGATGTTATTGTTTTAATAATCACTTGAAAGTTGTAAATAAACTTTTTTTAAAAAAAAGCAGTCCTCTGTTATATCTTAACAGACCAAGGTCAACAGTTTGAGTCCACTGAAGCCCTGTTTATATGGTCATGGCTAAAGCATTAATCACATTTTCCATGGTTGGTCCTAATAAGAATAAGTAATAGGACTGATGATTCTACTGCAGAACTCAAATTTTAAATCATTCACTGGACTGGATTTTGAGTCTATTTCAAGTTGACTACTAATAAATAAACATGATATAAATAGCCTGAAGACCAGGAATTTCTTTTAATCTTAGAGAAAAGAATTTGCCCGTTTCCTTTTTCTTTTCTAATCCTCGCCCGAGGATATTTTTCCATTGATTTTTGAGAGCATGGAAGGGATGGGGAGAGACAGAGAGAAACATCGATGTGAGAGAGACGCATTGATTGGTTGTCTCCTGCATGCACCCCGACTGGGGATTTAGCCTGGGAGCGGGGATCGAGCCTGGGAGTGAGGTATGTGCCCTAATGTTTCCATTTTAAAATGGTGTCAGATAGGTACTAGATTTACTGGAGTGATCACTTCATAAGTTATTTAAATGTCTAATAACTGGGCTAAACATCTGAAAATAATATAGTGGTGTATGTCAACGGTAATTGAAAAATAAAAACGTTATTTAAAAAAATACAGAACTGTGAGAGGGCAGGATTCTGTGAAACATCAATGACTGAATAATGTACAAAGATAAATGGATCATCCTATCTAATAGACAAACATGGTAACTGACCGTACCTTCACTATGCTTCCCATTGGCTAATCAGCGTGATATGCAAATTAACCGCCGACAAAGATGGCGGCTAATTTGCATACTACAGGCAGGGCAGGCCAGTGTGAGCTGCCATCTGGGCCCCGGTGTGCCGCCTAAGCCCCGCCCCCAGCCAGGACCCCCGTGTGAGGCCCTGGGTGGCAGGGCTTGGCGGAGCGATCGGCGAGAGGAAGCCCTATTCTTGCAGGAATCCTCCTGCAACGGACTTCTAGTTGTAATAATAAGAGCAATGAAAACAATATGTAGTACTGTTTCTATCAAGTTTTTTTAAAAGTCACTCATAAATATTCTTAGGGTTGCCTTGTGTACTGTTTATGTGTGTCTACTTAATATCTGTTGAACCTTTGAAATTGATCAGTAGTTGATTTAAAAAGAAAAATTTTAATTTTCCCTAACAAAATTTATAGTAGGATGGGCAGTTGGGGTGGGGATGGGTGGGTAACTTAAAGCAAAAATTAGTAATATATGGTTTGCATAGGCATGTGTAAAACCCATATTTCAGAAATCATATGCTTTGAAGATAGTTGGGGGACGAGGGTGAGGTTGCCCTTACAACCTGTATTGCTGATTGAGTGTATGGGTCAATTACAATTTAACTATAGTTTCCTTTTTTTTCTTTTCAATATATTTTTATTGATTTCAGAGAGGAAGGGAGAGGGAGACATAGAAACATCAATGATGAGAGAGAATCATTGATCAGCTGCCTTCTGCACATCCCCTACTGGGGATTGAACCTGCAACCCAGGCATGTGCCCTTGTCCAGAATCGAACCCAGGACCCTTCAGTATGCAGGCCAACGCTCTATCCACTGAGCCAAACCAGCTAGGGCTTAACTATAGCTTTCGACTAGATCTCGAAGCATCCAGGACTTCGAGTAGGATCCTAAATCTCCAAAAGACTACTCATTTCCTTCACTCCAAGGAGGTCCTTAAGTTAATGGTTATTCTGTGGAGGAAGGCCCCTGGCTTGCGATTTACAGTTATAAACGTTAATTGGTGTACTCTTTGTTAGAATTAAGCAAAAACAATGTACCAAATGGTGATTTGACTGATCATTATGCCACCAATGAACTCTGAAAATTGTAGTTAAGAACTTGTGCTCACTCCTCAGGAGTCTGGCTGTACCATTCAGATGTAAGCAAAGGCAAACAAGAGTTAGGCAAGTTTCAAAAACTTTAATAAAGAAAAAAAAGACACTTCCAAAAATAAATGCCACACAAATGAAAGTTTATAAAAAAGTGTAAGATATTCATGAAACAAAATCCCTATCAAAATATCCTAAATACTAAAATCTAATGATGTTGAGTGTTCAAATTTTGGGAGAATGCAGCTTATAATAATATAACTGGGAGTGTTCTTCAAAATATGCCTGTTTCAAGACATCACTTAATATAATTACTTTTAAACCTATATTTTCTTAAACATCCATTTCACAATTCATTTAAATATTTTACATTCATTTATAAAAACACACTTTCTAACAACGGGTTATTCTGTGTTTTAATAATAATGAACCATGGTAAAATACTTCAGTGATTTAAATGTCTTGCTAATGACTACATCCGTCACAGATTCTTGCACACTTATATAGCTACCGCATAATCAGAAGAGCTATCACTTTTCTTAAAAATGACACTCACCCAAGTTTAGTAAACATGCTAATAATTAGAGATGTATTTTTCCCAAGTTAAAATACTTTCAAGCTTTCTTTAAAATCTGCAAAGATAACCTGCTTATTTAACTACTTTTTATTGGCAATTTATAAAGCCAGGAGAAGCATCATTTTAGAATTTTCTCCCTAATTTCTATAGTAAAAAAGAAAAAGAAAAAAAAAAAGGATGTTCTTTTTCAAAGTGGATGGCACTAAAATTCTATTTTGGAAATTATAATTTTAAAATGTGAAGAAATGCAATGTCAGTTACATCTAGAGTGGTATTTTAATGAATTAACCTAATTATTCTTCAGGTCTATACAGATTTTTCTTCAGTGTGGGTGACACTATCTTATACGCACACATCTTAGTACTTCAGTAATTAATCCATTTTAGTTGTGATCCAAGACAAACACTAACTTATTCTAAATTCTCTTCTATAACAAGGGACCAATCTATATCACCTTTAGACTGACAATTTAGTGAACAGATAAAAAGCTAAAGCAATAAAATTTATATAATTAATGGTGGTTAATTAGCCAAATCAACAGACCTTAGTCTCACAATTTGGAATTAATTTTCATGCAAAATTTAACATAGAGTTTTGATCCTTTACTTATAAAGTATTATTTTATCTTTTTAAGTAATCAAGACAAGTAGTAGAAAAAGCATTTTATTTATATGGAAAAGCTACATTAAGATCTGTAAAAGGTGTCATTATAATATTGCCTATACAGAAAAAAATTCAAATGTGAATAACAACAAATAAAAGTTACACATCTTCCTACTTAGCAGTGCAATTAATTCACATTGCAATAAAGTTAAGTCAAGTATAACAAAATCAAAACAAGTGTTTCTCCATAATCAGTATACTGAGAATTACAGTGTAAAGATCATTCAGGTTTAAGAAATCTGCAATTGATCTACACAGAAAACCCTAAGACAAGGGAGACAGACAGTTAATTCATTTAATTATCAGCTGTTCGGTTTTTTTCAATACTGTTCACAGGAAAAAAGTAATGAGTTGACATACATGTAAATAGAATATATTTAGTCTATACAGTAAAAAAATACAAATTATAAAGTGAGCTAACAAAGAATGAAATCTGAATAGATTTATAAAACTGACGACACAGACAACACATACAGTATTTCTCATGTAAAAACATCTAATTTCAGCAAAAAATAATTTGGTTACTTTTCAGATGTTTTGTAGATCTTGTAAGCTGAAGATGCAGATGTCCAAGTATCTTAAAATCCATAATAAATGTCTTTCTCAATGCATACAAAAAGACTCTCATCACAGTCTTAAGGGTATTTTTGGAAGTTTGTTTAGTCTTGCTTCAGAAATACATTTAAAATGGATAAAAATCAAAGGATTTCATGATGCAATGAAACAGTAAACAGTGCTCAATTTACTGTTAATATTGAAAAAAACCTAGATTTTACAGTACTCTGGTATATATGAAATTTATTTTTATTTTACATTGCATATTTCTGAGTCCATTCTCTTGCGTGTCTGTTGTATCTGTAGGCATACAAAAGGGGTATAGTAAAAACATACAAATTGAATCTTGTAGAAGATCTATCTACATAAAACAGTATACTCTACCCTCCTATGCTTACTTGCAGTAATCATACATATACCAATTATTGGTTCAATGTGACTTCGCCTTATGCACAAATAAAACAGAAAACTTAAGTCAAATTTTTACCTGATGGATTTGTCTACAACCTATATGAAAACATACCTAAATTATAAATAACAAAATGAAAAAGAAAACAATTTATGGTAATAATCTATAAAAGGCAATGAGCATTACTTGTAAATTGCAAATGAATCAATGGTACCAGTAAGATGAAACAGCTTGAAAACTAGGTCAGTTTGGGTGGGTTAGGGATAACTTCTTTTCCTGGGAGATTAGGAATATAATATCCAACACTTCCCAATCACCAAATTCTTTCATTTTTAAATTTACTCCCTAGAATTATACATAATTCTTCCCTACCAAAAACATAACCTACTGTGCAAATACAGAACGTGTACTATTAAAAAGTAAAGGATTGAAGAGTATGTGAAAAAGAACAAGATTTTTTTTTGTAAAAAGACAGTTTAAAAAGAAAGGTTTACTACACTGGAAAGAAAAACAAAATCAATGTTAAGTATAATAAGCATAACTAAATGTACTTATTAAATATATTGGTAATACTTACTTTTCTTTGTCTGATTTATAGATTTGTGCAATATCTGGTACTAAGGGGTCATCTGGATTAGGATCACAAAGTAGAGAACATATGGACAATAAAACTATATTGAAAAGAGAATACCATATTAGATAATGATCTTTCTTCTTTATACAATTACATATGTGAAAATAATTTCATTGAATATAGACAATTAACTTACAAAGAAAACAAAACATTAAATTACATTTTAGACTATAGCTGGTAGCAAGTATTTTTAATTTTTAAAATTATGAAATTACCATATAATATACATAATATGCAAAATTATAATTTTTAAAGGTTTAAATTCTATTTGAATTTCTATTTATTTAAAAAATGTGGACCTCTAAAGTAGCTATTATAATCTTTAAACTCAAGTGTTTTCTACAAAAATATTTTGGTAACAGACACATACCCCAAATGATACATAATAAAAAACTTTTTAGAATAGCATCCTAACTTTAGATGTCTCTTAGAGATACTTCTGTAGAGGAAACTGTCCATTTTATTCTATTTTAATACAGAAAATCTGTGTTCTAATCAATTCAAGGTAAATCAATCAAATTACAGTTAATAGTCCAAACCATTCGGACATTGTGCTCATGTACTTTTATACTCTGGCTTAGTGATATACAGTGTCCACAAAGAAGGAAGATTTATAAGATTTTTCTCAACGACTCTTTCATTCCATGTATATTATTTGTATCGCATGCATGGAAAAACAATGTGAATAGTTACTCTGTAACTTGTACATTTTTAAATATAGATGAAAATTTTAAAAGTAGTTGTTTCTTGCCACATTACGTCAAATATAAATACAAATAGCCACACACACACACAAATCTAAGTATATGAAAAAAGAGGGAACAAGACTGGTTCCTCTCTTGCCTCAACTGCATGCCACCACTTCTGAGGGGGTCTGTGGAATCTTTGGAACAACCTTGCATCTTCAGCCTCCTCTACTATGTTCCCCTTATCTTTTCCTATTCTTCAAATTCCACAGGTGAATGTATAAAGCAAAGTTGATTCTTACATGACACAAAAAGTGGGTGCTAAGAGCACTAATATTAAAACTAATACTTATCTTCCTTAGCTTCCATTGTATATTAAACCTAGGCTAATGTCTCCAAAAAGTTTCCAGATAAAAATCAAAATAAGACATTTAAAATAAGACATTAAAATAGCTGTATTTTTAGGTAGCGGGTATAAGCTATCTTACAAAATAAGCAAGAGGCAAGTTCCTCATCTCCACAGGCCTGCTGCCCAGCCACAAGCCCTGATTTCACTATTACGCACAAAATCAAATGTTTTAAGATAAGTAAAACGGAATGTTGACACTCATTGTGTGCTTACTGTGTGTCAGGTGCATAGTGACCCTATAATATTATAATTCCCACTCTACATATGAGGAAACTGAGGCCATTTGAAACTGTTACTGAAGACAGTTACCAGAAAGCATCAATACTAATTTTTTTTTTTTTAGTTTGTGCTAAATCATTTTTAAAATGTGTAGCTTCAGGACATTTATTATAAAAAGCTGTTTTCATATACATGACTAACAACTTAAAATTCACCATACATTTACTTCATTTTTTGGCTTGACCGTCTAGTAAATCTTTAGCTTCATTGATTTTGGCTGCTATATAAGGAGATCCTCCCTTGTCTGGGTGATTTAAAAGCATAATTCGTCAGTGAGCATCTCTTATTTTTCCTTTATTGGCAGTAGGGCTCTGTAATAGCCACCACTGAAGGCAGATTTTGGTAAACTTTGAAAAACTTGTTTCACTTGAGGCTCCATATGCTTCATGGCTTGCAAAACATAACGGCCTGCAAATCCTGCAGCAGCAATGGTCAATCCAACTGCTATCACTGTACTGGTCATGGCTCCGGCTCGGCTCTCCTGGCTCCGCCGAGAGCGCGTTTCATCCCAGCCCGAAAGGCCGCAGCCACCAGCTCCCCGCCGCTACCAGAAAGCGAGGGCGCCGCCAGCGGGGACCAAACGTCCACACTCGGGCGCCCAGAACACTCGGTAGCGGCCAATACTAATTATCCTAGCTAATAAAAGAGAAACATGCAAATTGACCATACCTCCGCTACACCCACAAGCCACACCCACCACCCAATCAGGAGTGGGTATGCAAATTAACCCAACAAAGATGGCAGGTTATTTTGCATATGCAGGCCCCCAGCGGCCTAGGTCCCGGGAACATCCTAAGGACCCAGGCAGCTCAGAGCCTGCAGGCCCCAGCATAGGCCCTGAGCGACCTTGGTCCCAGAACACCCCTGGCCACTCCTGGTCTACTGACCTTGGCGCCATGGGGGTGGGGCAGCAGAGGCTTGAGCAGGGCCTGAGCGGAGGGGAGGGGGGGTGGCCTTGCCCAAGCCTCGGGCAGAGGCTTGATCGGAGCTGGGGGGCCCTGCCTAAGCCGCATTGGAGGCTTGAGCAGTCGCGGAGACAGGGGGTGTGCCAGCCTAGGTTTGCCAGCAGTCCTGCCTCTGCGGGTGAGCTGCAGGGGAAACACCTTTTCTGACAGTTCATTGGCTAAGCTCCCTGTACGCCACTGGTAATGTTCTTGGTAACTTGGGTAACAAGAATCCAAAAAGGTGATCTAGGGTTTTTTCACCTCACTCCTAGAGGAAAAAACGAAGGTCTGCTGCTGGAGGGCTAAGAATTGTCATGCCCTGCCCTAGCCAGTTTGGCTCAGTGGATAGAGCCTCAGCCTGCCCACCACAGGGTCCGGGTTGATTCTGATCAAGGGCATGTACCTAGGTTGCAGGCTCCTCCCTGGCCAAGGCCCAGGTCAGGGCTCATGCAGGAGGCAACCAATCAAAGTGTCCCTCTCACATTGATGTTTCTCTCTGTCTTTTCCTCTCTCTTCCACATTCTCTAAAAATCAATGGAAACATATTCTCAGGTGAGGATAAAAAAAAAAAAAAGAAAGAAATGTCATATCCTATGAAAGACACATCTTGAAAATGCCTAAAGAAAGTTGTCATTTTTTTCATGGTGAAGGGACTGGAGTCCATGTTGATGAAAACACCTTGGCAGCTGCAGTGGCTGACAGTGGCTGCAGCAGCAGGGTGATTGGGCTGGCGCCTTCCCCTAATCAGCCGGGTCGCCTCCCATGGAGGGAGGTCAGACTGCGGCTTAGGCCCACTTTCAGCGGGCCTAAGCCATCAGTAGGACATCCCCTGAGGGCTCCCAGTCTGTGAGAGGGGGCAGGCTGGGCTGAGGGGAAACCCCTCCCCCAAGTGCACGAATTTTGTGCACCAGGCCCCTAGTTCTTTATAAAAAGCTACCAATATCAGAAGATAAATGTTCAACATCTGGCAGTCTGCCATTTTTTTTACCAGTATATGTGTAAGTATTTAGCTGCTTATGCCAAATGAATTATATTTTCCAATACCATTCCAGGAAAGAACATATGAATTTGAATAACCCTTTGACACAGAATCTTTCCTACATCTAGTGCATAACAGCTACACTACCATGTGTAAGATTTTTTAAAGGACAATGAAATCTACATGAACATTTTATACAAACATTTTAGGTCAGAAAAACTGCCATTCACAAATAACTAACTGACATAAAGGGCTATTATTTACCTAATACTTGAAAAAATTATGGCTGTAGACTCTGTTTCCTATAAACCTCATCACTTTTAAAAACAAGTCATATATTCAGATAGCATTTATTTCTTTTGTTTTAATTTTTAAATGACCATGGATCTCTCCGTGAATCCTTCAAGAGAAACAATTTTCTTGAATTTTATAAAAGGAAAATCTACCAAGTTACTTCAGGGGCAGATGCTTCTAACTCAAAACAATATTTTCCAACTGTCAGGTGCTCTTCTGTTTAGAGAAACAAGACTTGATTTAAGAGGATTCACACAGCAAATAGTATTTGCTAAAAAAACAAAAAGGGCTTCAGATGTACACATCTGATAATTTAGCAAAGAACAATGTTACAAATTACGTTAAGAATCCACATGGTGTATGTATTAGTCATTATGATAATGCTATTGATTACTCAAAGTTTAGAGCAGTGATTTTCAACTGGTACGCTGAAGAATTTTAAAACACACAATACCAGAGTATTTAGTCAGGGGCACTGACATCTTTTTCCTTAGATTATCAAATAAAAAATGACAACAGCCAACACAACAATATGTTGTGTTGAATGAATCAAAATTATATGTATTTTTTCTCAGATCAGGAAAAATAATATTTTTTGGTGTGCCACAGGATTTTAATAATTAGTGTATGTGTGTCTTAAGATGAAAAACGTTGAAAATCACTAGTTTAGAATAATGTTAGATGTACTGCATCATTCTAAAATGTGAAATATGTCTTAAATCATTTATCAACCTAATCTGATATTTCTTCTTAGATGAAGTAAAACAAATGTAAACCTTTAATCATTATGTCAGTAATTCCATTTAATAAATGGGACAATGGGCCGTAGAATCATATATTTACTTGTCTCTTCTTAAAGATAAGCTAAAACTAAAAGGTAAAATGTCGAGAGGCTTATCCCCAAATTTCTAGCTCTCACATTTTAAATTTCTCTTACTTCATCATTTAGATTTGCTTACCAACACCACCACCACCAAATTAACTGTTAAAGGCTAAAGAGGCCTGGCTGGTGTGGCTCAGTGGTTGAGCATCAACCTATGAACCAGGAGGTCATGGTTTGATTCCCAGTCAGGGCACGTGCCTGGGTTGTGAGCTTGATTCCCAGTAGGGGGCATGCAGGAGGCAGCCAATCAATGACTTTCTCTCATCACTGATGTTTTCATCTCTTTCTCCCTCTCCCTTCCTCTCTGAAATAAATAAAAACATATAAAAAAAGCTAAAAAGAATACATATAAGAGCTATGAAAGCAAAGCAAAATCAAAGCAGGATAAAACACAGTAGGTTGTTTTGTTTTTTTTAAACTTTGGGCCTTAGATACTTCTGTATTTTTCCTGTTTCACTATTATCAGCTGTCATATATCTGATAAATGAAATTACCTTTTGATACAGTCAGAGCTGGTGACCATTGTGACCTCAGGATATCAAGACAAATACTTCCATTACTGTTTATGTTTGGATGATAAATTTTTGTTGTGAAAGCAATCTAAATATAACACAAAACAAAATAAAAATGTGACAATCCATGAACAATGAGCAAAACAGAACCAACTTACTCTAGGGTAAAATGTCTTTAAATTTAAGCACCCTAGTTGAGAAATGTATTCAACACAAATTGAATGAGCATCCACTTTGTGTGCACAAAGTTTTAGCTACTAGGCATGTGAAAGCAGATAAAGTAAGTTTTCCCACTCCCCCGCTTCCCCCACCGCTCTCCCCCGCCACCTCCAGCAAGAACCTGAGAAATATTTTGGAGAGTGCAGTATGAGAGCTGATATGACTGCTGAGTAGCAGCTGAAGTAATTAACCATGGCTTTGATGATCCCCCAAAGTAATCCTTTTCTTCGTTTGCTTATCAAGAATACCTGGAAGTGACATTAGGGTCTAAAAATAGGGTGCTGACCCTGTTCTGGGTGAAAGTGGAGGGGCCTGAGTTTGTAACCTGTCCTAAGAAACCCACCAGGAATCCTAATCTCCCACAAGACTTTTTGTTATACCGTTTCATGTGTATATAACGCTATTCAGGTATTTTTAAAAATCTAAAATAATTATTTGCTCTTCCTCTCCGGAGCACAGCGGCGCCTTTCCCTGGCCCTTCCACCTCCCCCTGGTGCGTTACATCTGCCTTTCTCTCTCCTAAGCTCCACGGGCTGTCTTTTGCTCCTGTAACTTGTTTCCCAAGCCTATGCAGCCTGGCTGGCTCACTTCTACTACCTCTGTAATTTTCTAAATAAGCTGCTCTTATAATTTGAAAAAATAAAATAAAATGAAATAATTGTTTCCTGAATGACAGAAGTTGTTAATGATTTTCTCCCTCCTGATGGATCCCCATCATTTGTTCCCTCTTTAGATCTAATTTAAATTAAATTGAATAAGAACATGTTTTTATCCCTCCCACCACACTAAATAAAAGGCCTGTGTCTTATTTACTTTTGTATTCTCCAATGTCACAGAACATGGTAAGTGTTCAATAAATGCTTGTTGAATACTTAAAACTGAAAAAAAAGAGTCAACTTTGGAAAGATAATCCCCTAAGTGGAAAAGTCTGATTCCTGACCATAAAACCCAAACTACAGAGATCTAATGAAGAGGAAAAGAAAGGAACCTAATTTACAGCGTAACAGACACTGCCTTTTGTTTTACAAACATAATACAATTGTTTGAGTAAGAAACATACTTTAGACTTAGTAGTTTTACAGAACAGTTGAACACGCTAACCTGTCTTGGACATAATAAAAATATCTCTGGATATACCCCTTTTGTCATCAATCACAAAAATAAAAATACCTTTGGTGGTTTAAAAGGATAGTCTGTTGGAAAATGTACAGTGAGAAAGAAGACTCCGCCTTGATATGCGCTATCAGGCTGAAATCACAAAACATTTGCATCAGTGTTTGATTACTACATTTATTTAATAACCTCAGATGACCCCCCTCCCCACCAAAATATGTCAGTTTGAAAAACATGCCATCATTTTGTCAAAAGTTCAAATCATTTACCTTGAAAACAGACTTTCTTTTGCACGTATGAAGGAGGATTTTCCAACTATCATGTCAACATCATAGAGTTTAAAGCAAATAAAAAATAGGACACACACACAGTTGTGTGACTTGCCCAATCAAATCTGTTTACGAGTATAGATTTTTAAATATCAGTATACACACAAGACTGCTGTAAGAAAAGAATAATTTTCTGAGGCAGTAATCAGTATGAAAAAAAGGGCTGGGGCTAGTATTTACCTTCTAATTTATGAAACTTAAGTCCTAATAGTCTTCTAAGGGGCAAGAATGGAGATGAGCCCAGCCAGTGTGGCTCAGTAGTTGAGTGTCAACCTATGAACCAGGAGGTCATGGTTCCATTCCCGGTCAGGGCACATGCCTGGGGTTGAGGGCTCGATCCCCAGTGTGGGGCGTGCAGGAAGCAGCCGATCAATGATTCTCTCTCATCACCAATGTTTCTATCTCTCTGTCTCCTCTCCCTTCCCTTCCTCTCTGAAATCAACAAAAATATATTAAGAAAAAAAAATAATGGAGATGAACTGAAGAGAACAAGTTATGAAAAGGATAGGCTAAGGGACAGCATTACACAATTTAGACCGCAAATCTTCACTCAATAATAACTTGTAAAATAATGTGAAAAGGTTCCAAACAAAACTAATAAATTCAATATTCATGGAATTGTCAAATTAGGAATCAACAAGAAGAATCTACATTTGGCCAGGAATCTTTATGGCAATTAGAAAATATGCTACAAGCGAGGGAAAAAAGATACTTTTTTAAAAGGTAGCAAACAATAGCTAATATTTTATTTTAATTCCCTTATATTTAATTAAATTTATCATGTTATACTAACACTTTGGTTATAATAGCAAGCCTATCATTACTTCTTCCTTAATTTCTGCATATATACTAGAGGACTGCACTGTATAATTATTCTTACTACATGTATTGCTTAATTCTAGTTCATAAAAAATAATAAGGAATGCAGAAAACATAAGTACATTACAATTGACAGTCATGGTCTGCTTAGATTTTCAAGTAATACGACAGAATAACATGTTTACATTACTAAAATAAAGGGACTATGAGTAACATAATTATAACCATTTGCTACATGTAATTCACCTAAGAAATATTTTTGAAGGGCTATAATTCAAGTGGTAAGAATGGGTCTTTTAAAGATAGTATTTTGAAGGTTCTTAGTAAGCAACGGAAAACAAACAAATAACCAGATTCTTAAACGTTGTTTAAATAAATATGCTGCATTTTACCCTTTAAAAGGCTAACCTAACAATTTAGCAACTGAGATACTTGCCCAGTACTCTTTCTCTGAAAAATCAGTAATTTTTTTTTTTTAAGTTAAAGACAAGATAAAGACAAGATAAAACTCTTTGGGGGGAAGAGAAGAGAGAAAGATGTTCATGGAAACATGTTACTATGTTTCCCGGAAGGCATCTTTGAGCTATCAGTGCCCATTCTTATGCAATCGGATTTTTGCTCATAGAAAGGAAAGCCTCTTTCTAGTCATAACTGCCTCTTGGATGTAGAAACAAATAATCTTAACAAAGGCAGTTAAGTGTTGAGAAAGCCACTCATAAAATAGCAGGTAATTTTGACTTCAGGATAATCCAAGAAAACTGAAAGCAGCAAACTCATGAGGTGGAAAAGATAGACCCACTACAGTATTTTATCAGTTCTCTCTCACAAATAGGAAGTGATAAAACTTAGTGCAAACTGGTATTTGTTACTTATAGGAATTCATTATTGGGTTACTTACACTTATTTCTGACCTACTAAAACTGTTGATGTGAGAATAATTATGCTTAGTTCTGAACCAGTTTTTTTGTGTTAAAAAAAAAAAAGACAAAGGAAACACACAGCCTGGTTACAAATTGTGGGTGATCCAGAACTATACGTAATTGATCAAGGATTTGGCAAAGGAAAACACACGACAATGATCCTAGAAGTATTCGCCATCAGTGCTGTAGACAATTATCATAAACCCTGTAATTACATTTTGCTTCCTGGGTGATTCAGATACAAGAAAATTCAACCTGAGCCACAAATATCTGATCAAAGGTGAAACGGCAAGAATTAAGCATGGCTGAGGGGATTAATTTCATATATAGGAATCATACTTACAGGTCCCATAATAGTTGCTTGCCAGTGGAACACTGAAACAAATAAAGGAGTTTTGGAGTCATTAACAAATGTTGGAACCTGTATTATTAACTGTAGCAAAATGCTAGCAATAAAGCAAAGCTTACGGTCGTCTCCCACAGGTCCGGCGGAGCAGTGAGCAGGTGGGTCACGCTGTAGATCACTTAATTCCTGAAGCGAAACAAAATACTTAAGGTTAATTCTTTTTCCAGTGAAACAGCATAATAATCCATGAAGACACAATTTATCAACTTCACTTTACAACCAGTTTAGGCACCTAGTTGAATTTTGGCCAAATTCCTTAGGTTGAACCTATTGGCCATAATAATCCATGAAGACACAAATTATCAACCTCCTCCCGCTCAGTGTTTCCTCTCTCGCCCCTGGGCTCTGGGGTTGGGGGTCCGTGCCTGCACAGGGGTCTGGAATGGGGGGTGGGGGAGCCGTGGCCACTGAGCCTCCCGCTCAGTGTTTCCTCTCTCGCCCCTGGGCTCTGGGGTTGGGGGTCCGTGCCTGCGCAGGGTCTCCACGCTGATTACCTAAAGTCACAGAGAAATTGGTGGAAAATTCACCGTCTCCATTCCCAGAAAGATCAAGTTATGGCTTTGTTCTTTTCTTAAGCTCCGAATTTGGCTTCATACTATATCTCGTATGGGCTTTTATTCCTGAATTTTGGCCAAATTCCTTAGGTTGAACCTATTGGCCTCAAAAGTATTGGGCAGTTGCATTGCCCATCTACCTCCTTATTACTGTAGTAATCAGTTATGTACTCTTATTTGGAGTAAATATGATGAGTACCTGGCCACAACTCCATTCAAACAATCACACATAACTATGCCAAAAATTAAGAGCAGAAGAAATACCAAAAGAGGCCATCCCAGCATTAAGAGATATTCCTATCAGTGAAGTAAACCAAATGTTCTATCTTACAGTCAAAGAACTTTACATAAAAGTATGTAGATTAACATAATTTTTTATGATTTTTGATATGTTTTTGAAATATGTTGAAAATGTTTAGCTGACCTTCTCTTAGACTAAGTTCCATTAATACTGTAAATGTTCTCAAATATTAGTTATTAATGGACAGAATAAACAAAACATTGCATTAGCATAAAAAAGACAACAAAATGTACTCTGTCACTCATGGGAAGAAGAGTAATTCATGACACAGCTCCAAACCTTGAAAAGATTAAATGGATTAAAATAGTTCTTTAATGAGTATCTACTATAGGCAAGGTAATTTATATAAGTACTAGGTATATAATCTATATGAAATAGGTCTTACTTCAACAGGTTTGTAATCTAATATGGGAGAATGAAGGCTCACACAGAGATGGCTATTAAAGGAACAACCCACAAGTTAAATGAGAAGAAGGCCACATTTTGAAGCCTAGCACATTGATTCATATTCTCTTTTTTGCCATCCAAGAAGCAAAGGAAGGACCATGGAGATGGCACAGCTTTAGGTCGGCCAGTCCTGGATTGGCATTCCAGTTTTACCACAACTAGCTCTACGACCTTGGAGAAATCACCTCATTCCCTTACCTTCAGTTGGGGAGGAACTGATCACCTCCAAGTATAAAAAGTATATATACATTATAAAGAACTATGCATTATGCCCAGCCGGCACGGCTCAGTGGTTGAGCATCCACCTATGAACCAGGAGGTCACGGTTTGATTCCCGGTCAGGGCACATGCCCAGGTTGTGAGCTTGATTCCCGGAGGGGGCATGCAGGAGGCAGCCAATCAATGATTCTCTCTCATCATTGATGTTTCTATTTCTCTCTCTCCCTCTCCCTTCCTCTCTGAAATAAAATAAAATAATTTTTTTAAAAAAAGAACTATACATTAGGACTGAAGAACCTAATTTAGTTTGGAAGATCAGGGAATGTCTCTGAGGAAGAGGGACCTAAGCTGAAATCTGAGTGGGAGTTTTGGGAGAAAGGAGGTAGAGTGGCATAAAATGAGGCTGAAAGTAGGCAGAGGCCAAGCATAAAACTGAGAACAGTATACCCATGTTAAGGATTTGGGGTTTGTTATACCAGTGCATTGGGAAGGGTTTTAAGCAGTGGCATGATCTGATTTAAAAGATGGCTCTAGTGGTCTAAGTACCTGAATGGACTAGAGATGGGAAAGAGTAGAAGCTACAAGATTAGTTACTATAGGCAAGAAAAATAGGAGCTTGGACTGGAGAAGTGGCAACAAGATGAAAGTGGAGGGATCTGAGATATTCTGAAGGATCTACCTACCAGAGGATGTGATGATGAACTAATTACATGTGCAGAGTAAGGAGAGAGGTCACAGATACATATGATGGTCAGTGGCAGCTAGCATTCACTCGATGTTTTGTTGTCCTCACGATCAACCCTCAGAGGTAGGTGTGATAACGCTCCCCAAGTTACAGATGAGGAGCACGGTGACTCACTTCACCGTGTGTTCACAACACTGGTCTGTATGGGGTGGAACTGGGAGGCCGAACTTGTGGCTTTTTAGTTCACAAATGTACTAATGTAGATGCCGTTTTCTGAGATGAGGGAACACTAGAAGACAAGCTGACTTGGAAAGAAAGTAGACATAGAATCTGTGACCCCGGAGACAGCAAGGGAAATTTTATAGGACTGGAGCATAAAAGAATACTGGACTAGAAATTGGAAAATCATTGTCTATACCTGGTATTTAAAACCATGGGGAAGATGTAAACATTTTCTTGGGAACACATGTAAAACAAATACTGCATCTGGTCAAATCTAACATGCCACCATAAGTCACATTCTTATTTTAGGCACCAATAATTAAGGAGGAATGCTGCCAATTAATTTTACGATAAGATGCGTACTGATTCTACTTAAAATAAAAAGGATGTGCACCTTAGAATCATCCCAAGACGGTGATTATTGCAGTGAGCTCAGCGTTCTAATAGAGACAAACAAGAGGAGGACGTGGTAGGGACAGGCTTTCCGGAGAAAGTGATATGAGCTAAGTAACTGAGCCAAGTGCAAACTCAGGTCTCCCTCTTCCAAGTCCTCCAGCCCACTTGGGTACTTTCATTTTTGGTTTCGTTGCTGTGGTTTCCACAGCTGGTCAGTGCTTCTCTTCCCGACAAGAATTAACTAACAGAGTTAGCAGCTCCTTCCAGGTATAGTTACGCAATAAAGAGGAAGATTTCAGTCTCTGATTACGCAATAGTGGTTAAGAAGCAAGGCTGTGAAGTTCAAGTCCAGGTCACACACTTGCCGCGTGACCTTAGGCAAAACATTCCCCCCCCCCGCCCCCCCCAATCTCAGTTTTCTTTCCTGTAAGGGACACTGCTGCTTTCATCCGTCGTTTCTATGACCAACAAGTGAAATGACACATGTAAAGTGTATAGCAGTCTCTGGCACACAGGAAGCATTCAAATAAATGTTAAAAACATGTAAAATTGGTAAGAGCCATCCAATTCTCTTGAAGCAGACTATAACTATTTAACTAGTTTAAATGATTGGGGGAGGAGCGTTCCCAAGTCACAGCCCCATTTTAGAAGGACTGTGCTTTATTTAAGTTTTCTAATTTGGGCTCTCAGGAGATTGCTTCTAAAAATATTCATCACGTGGCGTTTTATAAACATTAGTATATATGGGTAAATGGGATTTCTTTGCCCTTATTTTTAACTAGAAAACTAGTTCATTAGAAATACAGTCTCTAATTGTGGTTTAAAAACTAATGGAT